CTCTCTCTTCTGGCTTCTTGCTTCTTCTCCTCTCTCTGCTGTTCTGCTTCTTCTGCTGCTCTCTGCTTCTGCTTCTTCTTCTTTCTTCTTCTCTCTCTTCTCTTCTTCTGCTCTTCTCTTCTCTCTCTTGCTTCTGCTTCTTCTCTCTCTCTCTCTCTCTCTCTCGTCTCTCTCTCTCTTCTCTCTCTCTCTCTCTCTCTGCTTCTGCTTTCTTCTTCTTCTCTCTCTCTTCTCTATGCTTCTGCTTCTTCTTCTCTCTCTCTCTGCTTCTGCTCGCTTCTCTCTCTCTCTCTCTCTCTCTCTCTCTCTCTCTTCTCTCTCTTCTCTCTCTCTCTCTCTTCTCTCTCTCTCTCTCTCTCTCTCTCTCTCTCTCTCTCCTTCTGCTTCTTCTCTCTCTCTCTGCTTCTGCTTCTTCTCTCTCTCTCTCTCTCTCTCTCTGCTTCTGCTCTTCTTCTCTCTCCCTTGCTTCTGCTTCTTCTTCTCTCTCCCTGCTTCTGCTTCTTCTTCTTCTTTTCTCTTTGCTTTTGCTTCTTCTTATCTTCTCTCTCTGCTTCTGCTTCTTTTTCTGTCTCTGCTTCTGCTGCTTCTCTCTCTCGCCTGCTTCTGCTTCTTCTCTCTCCTCTTTGCTTCTGCTTCTTCTCTCTCTCTCTGCTTCTGCTTCTCTCTCTCTTCAGCTTTCTTGCTCTCTTCTCTCTCTCTGCTTCTGCTTCTTCTCTCTCGCTGCTTCTCTTCTCTTCTCTCTCTGCTTCTGCTTCTTCTCTCTCTCGCTGCTTCTGCTTCTTCTCTCTCTCTCTGCGACTGCTTCTTCTCTCCTCTCTCGCTCTGCTCTTCTTCTTTCGCTCTCTTCTGCTTCTTTCTTCTTCTCTCTCTCTCTGCTTCTGCTTCTTCTTCTCTCCTCTCTCTCTTCTCTTCTTCTTCTTCTCTTCTCTCTCTCTCTGCTTCTGCTTCTTCTCTCTCCTCTGCTTCTGCTTCTTTTTCTGTCTCTCTTCTGCTTCTCTCCTCTCTCTCTCCTCTCTGCTTCTGCTTTTTCTCTCTCTCTCTGCTTCTGCTCTTCCTCTCTCTCTCTCTCTCTCTCTCTCTGCTTCTGCTTTTTCTCTCTCTCTGCTTCTGCTTCTCCTCTCTCTCTCTCTGCTTCTGCTTCTTCTTCTTCTTCTTCTCTCTCTCTGCTTCTGCTTCTGCTTCTGCTGCTCTCTCTCTCTCTGGTTTCTGCTTCTTCTTCTCTCTCTCTCTGCTTCTGCTTCTTTTTCTGTCTCTGCTTCTGCTTCTTCTTCTTTCTCTCTCTGCTTCTGCTGCTTCTCTCTCTCTCTGGTTCTACTTCTTCTCTCTCTCTCTGCTTCTGCTTCTTCTCTCTCTCTCTCTCTGCTTCGTCTGCCTGCTGCATCCCCTGGGTCCTCCTCCCTCCTTCGCCATTGCTTCTGGGATCTCGCTTCGCTTTTGTTTTCGGATTTGTTAGTTTATTTTTGTATTTTTTTATTTTCGTTGTTGTTATTTTCCACTGACACCGCTTGCTTCTGCTTCTTCTCTTCTCTGCTTCTTCTCTCTCTCTGCTTCTGCTGCTTCTTCTTCTGCTGCTTCTGCTTCTTTCTCTCTCTCTGCTTCTGCTTCTTTCTCTCTCGCTGCTTCTGCTTCTCTCTCTCTCTCTCTGCGACTGCTTCTTCTCTCTCTCTCTGCTTTCTGCTTCTTCTTCTTTCTCTTCTGCTTCTGCTTCTTCTTCTTCTCTCTCTCTCTGCTTCTGCTTCTTCTTCTCTCTCTCTCTCTCTGCTTCTCTGCTTCTTCTTCTTCTCTCTCTCTCTGCTCTGCTTCTTTCTCTCTCTCTGCTTTCTGCTTCTTTTTCTGTCCTTCTGCTTCTGCTTCTTCCTCTCTCTCTCTCTCTCTGCTGCTGCTTTTTCTCTCTCTCTCTGCTTCTGCTTCTTCCTCTCTCTCTCTCTCTCTCTCTCTCTCTGCTTCTGCTTTCTCTCTCTCTGCTTCTCTTCTCCTCTCTCTCTCTCTGCTTCTGCTTCTTCTTCTTCTTCTTCCTTCTCTCTCTCTGCTTCTGCTTCTGCTTCTGCTGCTTCTCTCTCTCCTCTGGTTCTGCTTCTTCTTCTCTCTCTCTCTGCTTCTGCTTCTTTTCTTGTCTCTGCTTCTGCTTTCTCTCTTCTTTCTTCTGCTTCTGCTGCTCTCTCTCTCTCTTGGTTCTACTTCTTCTCTCTCTCTCTGCTTCTGCTTCTTCTCTCTCTCTCTCTCTGCTTCGTCTGCCTGCTGCATCCCCTGGGTCCTCCTCCCTCCTTCGCCATTGCTTCTGGGATCTCGCTTCGCTTTCGTTTCGGATTTGTTAGTGTTTTTTATTTTTTTATTTCGTTGCTGTTATTTTCACTGACACCGCTTGCATAGCCAACACGCCGCCACTGCTTTCATTATCACCGTTTCGTTGCATCACCATTACGTCTCACCACATCAATATCACCACATCAACATGTCCACTAACATAAGCACCACATCAGCATCTCACATCACCACGTCCAGTACATAACCGCTACATCATCATCTCACCTCTACCACATCATCACATCAACACGTCCACTACATAACCACTACATCATCATCTCACCACCTCTCACTACATTCATCTTCACCACCTCCACCACATCAGCACTTCACCACATCAGTACCTCCCACTTACTTCATCACCACTATCACTGCCACATCAACACCACCACCACATCACTGCCACATCACCACATCACTGCCACATCAACACCATCACCACATCACTGCCACATCACCACATCACTGCCACATCAACACCATCACCACATCACTGCCACATCAACACCATCACCACATCACTGCCACATCAACACCATCACCACATTTGCCACATCAAACACCATCACCACATCACTGCCCACATCAAACATTCACCACATCACTGCCACATCAACACCGATCACCACATCAACATCACACATCACCACAATCAACACCATCACCACATCACTGCCACATCAACACCCATCAGCCACATATATTCACATCACCGTCACCACCGTCAGCTCTCAAATCACGCGCGCACACACGCAGACAAGCTCGCGATCGGCGCAGGTGGGTTAAGGTTGCAGTTGTAGGGAGTCGTGGGGTGGGCGGGTCATGGGACTGGCACTCTGGCACTCACGCTCTCTGGCACTCTGGTATTCTAGCACTCACGCTCTCTGGCACTCTGGTATTCTAGCACTCACGCTCTCTGGCACTCTGGCATTCTAGCACTCACGCTCTCTGGCACTCTGGTATTCTTGCAGTCACGCTCTCTGGCACTCTGGTATTCTAGCACTCACGCTCTCTGGTACTCTGGTATTCTAGCACTCACGCTCTCTGGCACTCTGGCACTCTGGTATTCTAGCACTCACGCTCTCTGGCACTCTGGTATTTCGAGCACTCACGCTCTCTGGCACTCTGGGTATCTAGCACTCACGCTCTCTGGCACTCTGGCATTCTAGCACTCACGCTCTCTGGCCCTCTGGTATTCTAGCACTCACGCTCTCTGGCACTCTGGTATTCGAGCACTCACGCTCTCTGGCACTCTAGCACTCACGCTCTCTGGCACTCTGGCATTCTAGCACTCTGACACTCGCACGCTGTAAAGGTGTTTAGAATGACACTTTTTTTCTCTTTTTTTTTAGGATTTTACAACTTCGAGTGTGTAGTTGTGTTGTATTCCTCTGTCGTTATTTTTTTCGTTGGTGTATGTTGTTCGTTTCTGTTGTTTTTCCCTCCCATGAAACAGCGGGTTTTATTGTGGTTTATTTTCCAGCATGGCATGGCTGTGCGGTGTTTGTCTTCGCTGCGGCATTCGCTACTTGTCGCCTCGTCGCTGTGTGTCCTCTTTCTCCCCTCTCTCTTCTCTCTCTCTTCTCGCTTGTTTTCCTTTTGCTTTTTTCTCCTTCTCCCCTTCCCCCCCTCCCTTCCTCACCCCACCCCTTCCCCCTGTCGCCTCTCTCCCTTTTGCTTTTTTTCCCTCTTCCTTCCCCCTCTCGCTCTCCCTCCCTGCCTTTGTCCTTTCTCTCCCTCTCTTCCTTCCTCCCCTCCCTCCCTCCCTCCCTCCCTCCTTTTCCTTCCTCCCTCCTTTCCCCCACCCCCTCCCCCGGGTCTCTCGTGGAGGTCCTCCCGATTGGGGCTCACTGATTGGGGCTCTCCGATCGGGGCTCATTTTCGGGGCTTTAGTGCCACAGCCGAGCCTCTTCTTGCGCCGGGGAATGCAGTGCCAGAGCCTTGTATTTCCGGCGCAGTTTTCTGGGCGTTATGACGGCACTTTGTCTTTTTTATGCCTGGCACTTCTCGTATTTCTGGGAGCAGTAAATGTTATCTGCAGGGCTGGCACCGAGTGATGGGAGCCGCGTTGGCCGTGGCACTGAAGGATGCCTCGGTGGGGGCAGTTTTCGGTTCATCTTGTGCGACGTTAACGAAGGGTTTCATCCGGGCTTTTGGGTGTCCCGGGGTGTTTTTGATCCGGGTAAATATTTACCTGGCGGGCTGTGCGCTTTCATTCTTACGCTCGCCCGTCTCTTCTCTCCCTCGCTGTCTCGTTTGCGGACGCGCCCTCACTCGCTCTCGCCCTCCCCCCCCTTTCCCCTTCTACTCTCGCCCTTTTGCATTCTGTCTCTTTTCCTAACTTTTTTTTTCATCTTCGTCGTGCACCTCCTGTTCCCTCTCCCATTCCCTTCTTCTTCTTCCTTCTTTCTCCTTCTCATCTCTCCTCCTCCTCCTCTTCTTCCTCCTCTTCCTTCCCGCTCCTCTTCCCTCCTCTCCCTTCTTTCCCCTTCCCCTTCTTTCCCCTTCTCTCACCTCTCTTTGCCCGTCACCTTCCCCTCCCTTTTGCCCCTCCCCTCTCTTCCCTTTCCCTCCTCCCTCCTCATCCGCTAATTAATCCGAGCCCAGTGATGCGGGCGTCCACCCTGCACGGGCGTGAGCGCGATGATTGACCTGTTGTGCGCCACCTGCGGGCGTCTCGCTAATTGCATTTCGTTTGTCATCCCCAGGTGAGGCTGCAGCCGACGTCGGGTCACGGGCGGCTGAGTTAGCGACCGGAGCTTTGCACAGGTGTTCGCGAGAGGTGAGCCATGTGGGCGTGGGGAGTGGGTGGGAGTTTTGAGGGTGTGCTTGTGTGGGAAGCGAGTTAAGTTGAGTTGAGTTAAGTTGATTTGTGTTGAGTTGAGTTGAGTTGAGTTGAGTGAGATGAGTTTGATTGAGAGAGTTGAGTGAGATGAGTTGAGAGTTGAGTTGAGTTGAGTTGAGTTGAGTTGAGTTGAGTGATTTGTGTTGAGTTGAGTTGAGTGCTGTGTGTGCTGTGCTGTGCTGTGCTGTGCTGTGGTTTGTGTGAGTTGTGTTGAGTTGTTGTGTTGTGTTGTGTTGTGTTGTGTTGTGTTGTGTTGTGTTGAGGTGAGGTAAGTTGAGTGAGATGAAAGTTAGTTGAGTATGAGTTTGAGTTTGAGTTGAGTTGAGAGAATGGAAAGGGTGGATGTTTGGCTGTAAAGGGGGACAGGGGAAGGAAAAATACGGGAAAAAAATGTTTGGGAATTGACAAAGAGATGTAAGTATGGAAAGTATGGTAGGGGAATTGGTATGGCGTGAAACAAGTTAGAGAGAAAGATAAAGAGTAGCTGAAACGGCGTGAAGAATGAATGATAGCAGTGATTGTGTGGCAGTGTGAGTGAAAGAGAGAGAGAGAGCAAGAGAGAGGGAGAGAGAAAAGAGAGAGGTGACTGGCGTGGGAGGGGGGGGGGAGCGGAGAGTGAGAGAGCCAGCTGGGCGTCCCGTTACCATAGCAACCATCACCCGCTAGCCTCTCGCTTGGTCGCGTAGGAGGGAAAGAGAGAGAAACGTGGGGGGGGGGGAGAGGAGAGAGGGGAGGGGGAGCACTGCCCGGCCTTTCCTTCTCGCTTAAGCTTTTCATTAATGTTTCTCCTCTTTCGCCCCCAAGGATTCGCAGCCACTCGTAAGAAAGAAAGAGGCGGCGACATGTGAGTGGGGCCGCCCACTCCTCGCCCCGGTGAGGGGGTGGCACGTTCTCAAGCGTTGGCAAGCGTGACACTCTTGCGTTGGCAAGCGTGACACCTTTGTTAGCGACCGTGGCACTCCCGCTCGGAAGCTGCATCAGCAGAGCAGCTGGCAAGGGCGACGGGCGGCTGGCGGAAGAGAGCTTTGTGGGACATCATTTCATGGTTTTAGGAAGTGAGTCCGGGGAGGGAGGGAGAAGGGAAGAAGGGGAAGGGGAAAGGGGAAAAAAGAGGAGAGGGAAGAGAGAGAGAGGAGGGAGAGAGGAGGGAGAAGGACAGATGAGGAGGGAGGGAGAAGGAGGAGAAAGGGAAGGGGAAGAGAAGGGGAAGAGGGAGGAAGTAAAGAAAAGGGAAGGGAGAAAGGGAGAGAGGGGGAGAAGAAGGAGAAAGGAAGAATAGGTGGAGGGGAAAGGGGAAGGTGGGAGAGAGAAGGGAAAGGAAGGGGAAGGGAAGGTGGGAGAGATAAGGAGATAGAGCAGATGGGGAGGAGGGACGAGGGACAGTGGGGAGGAGGGGAGGAGGCAGAGGGAAGGAGGGAGAGGGACAGAGGGGAAGGAGGTAGAGAGAGGGGGGAAGGGAGATAGAGGGGGGAATAGAGGGAGAGGGAGGAATGGAGGGAGAGAGGAGCGGGGAAGAGAGGAGTTTGGATGGGGACGGCGAGTGAGAGTGCATGTGTATAGCCCAAGTATAGTACAAACACATGTGTTCGAAGGGGTTAGTGCTTCGTGTTTCTCCTACTTTTTATATGCTTGTGTATCTGTGTCTTTGTTTCTGTGTTTAGAGTATGTGAAAGAGAGAAAGCATGTGTTTAGGGTAGTGTGAAGTTTGTGAAGTTGTGTTTGTTTGTGTGTTTAGAGTATGTGAAAGAGAGAAAGCATGTGTTTGTTTGTGTGTTTAGAGTATGTGAAAGAGAGAAAGCATAGAAGTAGGGGGGGCGAGAGAGGGAGGCGAGAAAGAAACGGCCAGAGCTGGACCTGCGGCCAAAGGCCCCGGAGGAGAGGATAACGAGGAAGCCAAGGGGCGCTGAGCAGGACCGAGCGGGGACCCGAAGGAGAACCCGTAGGACCCGAAGGAGAATCTGTAGGACCCGAAGGAGGGCCCGTTTGAACCGAAGCAGGACCCTAAGGAGGACCCGAAGGAGGAACCGAAGGAGGGCCCGTTTGAACCGAAGGAGGAACCGAAGGAAGACCCGTTTGAAGCGAAGGAGGACCCGAAGGAAGACCCATAGGACCCGAAGGAGGGCCCGTTTGAACCGGAGGAGGACCCGAAGGAGGAACCGAAGGAGAACCCGTTTGGAGCGAAGGAGGACCCGAAGGAGGACCCGAAGGAGACGCCGCCGCCAATGCTGACCTCAGAGCCAAGGAAGGAGCGGCGGAGAAAGGGGGGGGGGGGGGGAGCCTGCGTAAGAAGCTGGATCCAAGCATCATGAGCGCAGCAGCTGGCGTGACAACGGGCGTCAGCTGCCGCCTTGCTGTCCTGCCACCCTCGGGCGACCGCGCCTTCCAACACTCGCTCGCTCGCGCTCTGACAACATCGCCGGGAGCGCAGAGCGGAGACGAGCGGAGCGGAGAGCGGAGGGAGGGCACGGACGGACCCGCGAATTCATTACGGTTCCGTTGCAGCCGCTCGCGACGCTGCGGAGGGGGCGGAGGTTTCCCACGCCTTCCCTCCCCCCTCACTCTGTCTGTCTGTCTGTCTGTCTCTAGGTCTGTCTGTCTCTAGGTCTGTCTGTCTCTAGGTCTGTCTGTCTCTGTCTGTCTGTCTCTTCTCTCTCACTCTCTCTCTCTCTCTCTCTCTCTCTCTCTCTCTCTCTCTCTCTCTCTCTCTCTCTCTCTCTCTCTCTTCTCTCTCTCTCTCTCTCTCTCTCTCATCTCTATCTCGTTATCTCGTCTCATTCCGCTCCTCTCCCTCTCTCTCTTCTTTTCTTTCCTTCTCACCTCCTCCTCTTCCTCCTCCTCTCCTCCCTTCCTATCCTTCTCCCTCTCCCTCCCCCTCTCCCTCTGATATCCCTTGCTCTCACCCTGGCCTTTCCCTCCCTCTCTTTCACGTTGGCTGACAGCCCTCTCTCTCACTCCGCCACACTTCTCGCTCACCCTGACTGTTATTGCGAACGGGGGGGAGAGAGAAAATGAAATAGAAGGACAAGAACAATAACACTTAAACAAATAAAGGGAGGGAGAGCGAATGAGATTTAGGTCATTCGAGAAGCAGTAACTCGTAAGTTTATTTATGTCTTTGAAGACGATACAGTCAAGGTTTTATTTGTTTGGTTATTTTTTTGTTTATTTTTTTCCCAGTTGACTAAGATTTAAGATAATCGATGGAATTTGTTTATTTTGGTATGCATTGTCAGAAGAAAAGTGATGGGGGAAAAAGAAATGAAATACAGGTGTAGAGGGTGAAGAGATGGAGAAAGAAATCAAGGTAGAGTGGAGATGAAACAAGGAATGGGAGGGACAGGAGAGAGACAGATGTGAAGATGGAGGTGGGGGTGGAGGATGAAGGTGGAGGGGGAGGTGAGATGGAGAGCGAAGGTGGAGGTGGACGGTGGAGGATGAAGGGGGAGAGAGACGGTGGAGGAAGGGGAGGTGGAGGTAGAAGTGGACGGTGGAGGAAGAATATGGAGGGGGAGGTGGACGATGGACGGTGGAGATAGAGGTGGAGGTGGAAAAGGCGGAGGAGGAGTCGGTGTCTCTCGCAAATCGGCTTTTCTTTCGACCTCGTGAGCGTGTCTGTCCGCTCGCCTAAGCCTCTGAAAAAAAAAAAAATGGCAGTGTCATGGCAGGCCGACCAGAGGAAGGGCGGGGGGAGGCGGGACTATTTCGCTCTCGGGCAAAAAATGGGCGTGAGGTTAATGGGTTTAGGTGTAGCGCCAGGTAGGGGTAGATGTGGCGTGGGCGTGGGGTGGAAGGGATGTAGGGGTCAGGGTGGGGGGAGTGGGGGGTGATGGGGGAGAGCGGAGAGGGTGGGTGGGCGGGTGGGTGGGTGGGGGCGCTCTGAAGGGCTTGACTGTGTCCCGTTATTGGCATTGTGCGGCCCGCTCGAAGGCCGGGTTCATACGGTCGCTTTTTTCCCCCAATGCGCTAAAACTATTTTGCTCATATTGTATACTTTTTCGTCCCCCTCCCGCCCCTCCCCCTTTCCCCCGCCTTTTTTGGCAATATCAGTCGCATATTGTTGTTTGGGGTTGCTGACCCGGCCTCTCGCGGCGGCCAGGCGGGGGATATTTCCCGAAGACTCCGCTCGATGGCCTCCGGAGCAGCCTCCGAGGGCGCGGGTATGGCCCCGGCGTCTCTTCTGCGAGGAGGAGCATATTACAGTCCCTTGGAGAGAGGATAAAGGACTTTTCTTCCCCAGTCATTGTTGTGCCCGCGGCCAGTTAGCCAATGGGACGGCCCTTTTCACGCCAGCCAATGGGACGCGTTCTTTCTCGGTGTCGGGGATTACGGACCGTCCAGCCGGCCAATGGGAAGGGGGCTTGCAACGCGCCTCGCCCGGCCAATGGGAAGAGGGCCGCAGGTCGGGAGCGAAAAGGAAAACAAGAGGGCGGCGACGAGCACGACTTGTAAACTCAGTTACATCATGGTCAGAAACCGCAGCACGACCGCGCCGTTATGTGAATTTCGATTTTTGCGCCGAGGACGTCCGGATGTGCAGCCGATCGGACGGAGAGATGTGCGGGGAGCTGGTGGCTGCACAGCGGGCCGTTGGGCGAGAGAAATTCATTTGGGATTTTTGCTTTCCTATCGATTTATCTCCGTGGTGGTGTTTCTGAAATAGCAGGTATTGGACGAGGCCGCCTGATTGCGTAATGGTCTTTAAAGGTGAGCACGAGTTTTGACACGGGAGCGTCGCCGAACGAGCCGGGGCGCTGATCCCGTAGTACCAACGGCGGCGGACGTGAGGAATGATCCGGAGCGTGTATTCATCTCGCTCTAAGCCTGTTATGCGCACTCGACGTGGGAAGAGAGGAGACTTGTTGACACACTTTGCGGCCGAGTGCTTATTGCCGCCCTCGCGTTGACACAGGCGCTGCGCTGGCATCGCGGGCGGCCGT